GGTATTGTGAAGAAAGAGAAAAGATAAGATAATTGATGTAGGGAGAAAGCAAACAAACAGTGTTGTTATGCTTCATTTCTAACTAGGCTATCTCAAGTCTACAAATCGATCTGAACTATTATTGACATAAAATCTTTTAAAAAGATTAAAATTCTTATGAAAGTAATAATAAGAAAATCTCATAGGAGTTATTATTCGTTTTCTCGATTGTATCAATGCATTATTCACTTTAATCAATAGATAGACTTCGATAGCGTTTATTGCTTACTGTTATTCAATAAAAATCGATAAAATGGGACAAATACACTTATCGACCCCACTCATGTATTAACCCAATTCGACTGATTAGCCCCTGGAGAGGTGTGGGTGTGGATGAATGTTTAGATAAGATGAACTCACGCCCACACCAACACCCAGATCCAGACCCAGACCCAGACTCAGACTCAGACCCACATCGACACCTGCATCCACACCCCACTCACACCCACATCCACACCTACATTCGCACCCACACCCACACCCACACCCACACCCTCAATACATGAAGAGGGGGGTCGATAAGTGTATTTTTCCCTCTATCCTGGTCTAATTTATATTTACAGCTATAAACTAAATTGATCCTTTTAGTCTTTGTACTTCATTTACTCTTTTATCCTTCTATGAATATCACTTCTCTAGTTATTTTCTAGGACGCATCTATTGTGTGTTCTACTGAATGTTTATTTCATCGTGGAAGTTTTCGATGATTAGATGTTACCTTTCTCTTATTGGTTTAGAAATTAAACGAGTAAGATGTTTTTCATTTTTTATTTCATCCTTTGTTTTTCGAATTTGTTTGTCTTGGAATTCAGCATCCCTGCCGTTTACACAAAACTCGTTATATTTGAGCATGTAAAAAGCCACAATACTTGTCAAGGACATAATGTTTGTCTACAACCGAGTATGTGACAAGAACAGAACAGATTAAAATTAAGACAAAGAAGAAAAGATTTTAAAAGTAAAAGGAGTAAAATGACCAAAAGAACTAAAAAGAGTAAGAAAAACTATAGGCAACAAAATGGAGTAAATGTATAATGATGAAAGACAGCTATAGATGATTTATTAGACGGAAATAACTTTAATTTCCTGTGAATCTATGGTATAATCATACCATCATTTTTAGCATTTCATTGCCGTTTACGATACAATTACGAACTTCTGAAATGATCGATCTGAATATTTATATTATAGTTTAGACTTAGATTTTGTAATTCTTCTAAGCATTTTGATCTCATTGTAAAATTGTAGACAAAATCTGTAGACTTTAATCTTCATCGCACATCCTACAATGCTTTTTATGTTTCTGAACGATTTTCACAAGATGTAACAAATAGTTTAACAAGAAAATATTCTTATGCACAAGCTTTTTTCAAAAACAGAAACGTTTTTTCCAAGCACGAGCTTCTGCAACAGGAAATGATATAGAAGCAATAAAGTTTGCAGAACATGGTAAACCAGAATTAATTGATTCGTTAGTTTCACAACAAATATATTCATTTCTTTTATTTTGCTAGTTTACATATTTAATTCATAAAGAAGATTTTAATTTCATCATTTAGATAGGCAGCTTGAATATTTGTTCTCGTATATGTCTTGAAGTTAGTATATAATTTATAACACTATGTCATTTAATAACATGCCATATCAGCTTGATAATTCCGAACACCAGAAAAAAAGCAAATGTTGGCGGTAACGACTGGAAAAATCATCGTATGTGACAAAAAAAACGAAGGAAATTGACTGAACTGGTAAGTAGTATATTTAATTAGAATTTATAAGGATTTATTCGATAACTGCGTATCGTTTCTCGCCGACAAGAATAATATATTGACTGAAGTCATCAAAACAATCCGTAAATTGTCCGACTTGAAATAATACTTTCAAGTTCCATTGTTTTCCTGTGTTTTTCCGTGAGAATCAACCTGTATGCAATTTATCTAGGCTATAAAACTCTATTGAAGACACTTTTCTAATTTAGAATCTGGTTCAGCAATCATACTTTTCGATGATGAGTTAAATAATCAAATAAACAAACTTCTTTACATTCATTATAATCTGCTTCGGGGTATATATCGTTCGAAAATATCAGCATGATTCTACCAGACTCTTGTTGCATCTAGTAACTTTTATTTGTTGGAAGCTATAAGACTCTCTATGATTTCCTATAGGATCGAAGAAGGCATCGATTTCGGGATTCTTTGTTTTAGGCACTGTTGCTGTTAACAAAAAAATAAGATCGATAGGATAAGAAGCGCAGTGAATTGTAGAGAAATATCTTGATCAAACGAATAATATTCGTATTAGCATTATTTGAAATATGTCTTAGAGGATATATACTTGAAAGAATTATATGTTTGTGTCATTATAAATTAAAATAAGACTGAAACGTTTTTAAGCCATTGATTCTTATCATTCGTGCTAGGTATATCACAATAACAATAGCCCAATATTGTTTTTTTATTGTAACATGCCTGATTTACATCTAGGTAATCACAACTAAGCTATTTGGAAGAATGAGCATGAAGTAGACTATTATCAATAAGCAACTTTAAACTTTTCGTAATGTATGGCTATCTTTATTTTTATTATTTCTTTGACAAAAGACTTGAGACGATTTTGAATATAATGCTGGTGATCTACAGTATTGTCTTTATTCAGTATGCATAAGAAAAGAACTATTTCGTTTAAAATATACACAAAGTAAATCACATCTGATTCAAAGTGGGCAAAAACCGCCGACTGAGCATTCTGTATAATGTGCACTATTTCAGTGGTATACACCGGCAATTAGTTGGCATTAGTTTAAAAGTGAAAATGTTGGTTATACTCTGACCGTTAGTGTATCATGGTGTACCAGTTAGTCAAGCATCGAATCCGAACGTTCAGGTTTGGTCTTGACTGCGATCATTTTCATTCAATTAGTCAAAAGAAGTAGGAGCAAGTCAAAAGAAAGGATGTCAGATTTAGCTATGATAGATTTACACAGTGTAGAATAAATGATCGAAAAACTGAAGGTCTACAGGTGCACTAAAAAAAGTCAACCATATTCTGAAATAATCGAAACCAAACTTAAACAAATCTAAGGATGCTTCCAGAATTGTCTATATATCTCAAGAAAAACTTGAACAATTATCCAAATACCCGATATTGTCGAAACTAGTTGAATAGTCTCTGAACTTGAAGCAGAGTCCGGATGCGAATCGTTCGTTCCGAACACCGAATCACAATTCGGATTTGATGCATACCTAACCTAACATCGATTGGTTGTTCTCTGATCGGCAATCTATTCGATGTATACCGTCGGTTCTTATGAGTACTGTGGCAAACCAGAAGTAATGCGAACAAACGTGCAACATGAATTACAATAGAAATTTTTTTCGTGAAAAACTACTACGAGTAATGTGATATCATCAATCATTCTAAAACTGAATATTAAGAATAATATTTTAAATGAATCATAGATTTTAATAAAAGCAAGAAACAGAAAAAATAAATAAATCACTGCGTTTCACCTCAACACAATAATTATAGTAACGATGATTTACGTAATTGAGTTAGAAAACTGTATTGTTTTTCCGTTGTTTTTCGTTTTGTTGATGAAGATGAATTTCTTCTTGTCCATCCAATCATCATTGGTTTTGGTGATGAATTCTCTCTATTATGAGATTCTTTCAATATTGTTGAAGTAAGCAAAGGTGTTGATGACTCTTCTTGTGCAACTTTTGTTGAGGATGGAGGTGAACATGTACATTGACTACTATCACTTGTATTCGTTGTTGTTACTCCTTGAGGCATAAGATATGATCGAGAAAAAGTAGCATAGGGTACACTACAGGCACTATTTGCTTGATGATATAATTGATGTGAATGATGACAAACTATTGAAGGATGATGATGACGACGAGTCATTGTTAATATATATTCAGGTATACATTCATATTGATGATTTTGTGGAGTATCTTGACCATCAGTAACGTTTCCTAATGTTGAACATTGAAGAACTTCATTCGATTTTAACATACAATGAGAAGAATTGTCCTTTCTTGGTATTAATTGATGAGAATAATAGTCATCACAACAATGAAACGTATTAGGTGTATACTAGAAAAGTAAAATAGAACATATGATCAAAATGATTTAGATTAATATTATTAGAAATCTTTTCAAATATTTTATTTATTTTAAGTACTGTTTTTTTTTGCTCTGATATCATGGATTTCAAATTGGAATAAACATGTGAAGTAAATCAAACTTATGGTAACCATAACACTTCGTTCTACAGCTTAAATCTTCGTGGTTTATTGAAATGAATATGAATTTCACAGCGACCCGATATTGGTGTTTTAAACTTACGAGAAAACATTTTTGAATCGATACTATATGCATCATGTAGATTCTAATGAGCTTGTATTTTTATCATATTTTTTAGCTGAATGCTGTGGTCTTCCTTAGAAACACTGAGAAAGCTTAATTTCAAATTTTTATTTGAAATTTTGTATAGAAACAAGTCTTAACGAGAATATCTTATTGTGAAAGTTCCAAATTTGTTTTTTTTTTTATTACGCCTATTCCGAAATAAGAACATCGGAATTTATCATTATATAGAAGCGACATAAAAAAATACGTTTTGTTCAAAGTCACATCTTAAGATAGAAACAATCAACAGAGCAAAAACCTTTACAACAAACTATTTACATCAAGACGTATCTCCATACCAAGTTTCACGCTGAAATTCGAAACTCAGTTTTTCTGGTATTTCTTAAGGGATAGAACACGTTAGCTGGAGTCTGAACACGACAAGATCTAGAAGAGGCCACAACATTGCGATAATATATACTGTAAAATATAATACTTCAGTAGCAATAAGCTATTTGCCTGAACTCTTTATAGGATATTCATAGTCTCGACTCAAAAGAGATTTGGCACTTAAATACGTTCTCTTTTTAGTGTATCAAAAATTTTAAAATTTACAGTTCATATTTTTAATGATTTATATAGGAAACTAATTGAGAAAGTTGAATGCTTTAATTTTCATTTTATCATTCGATTGACTTGTGAAAAAAAAATTTCGTAGAGGAAAAAGTTCAGCTGTTATTGATTTTATCGTTAGTAAGTGTCTATTATCAATATCTATACATGATTGATTGATAAAAAAAGCAAAAAATAACTGTGTAAAATATTTCACACTTGTCTGAAATTTTTAACATACAAAATACTTCATTTTCTGAAGTGTTTTCCCTCTTCAACTCATACAATATATTTTGACCTTGAATATTTAATCAATTAGAAAGTATTATATTACCTTGTAATGTTCACTTGTTCTAGTACACCCATCAATATGATGATGTTGATGATGATTTCTTGATGTTAATGAACTAGACATAATACAATCTTTATATTGCTTTTCTTCTTTTTTTAATTTTCTAAATCAACAAAAATAAAAATATTTTGTTTTTTTGAAGATAAAATCAATAAATATATACATACTTAAGACAAATAAAAATACATATAACAATAATAATACAAAAAATAACACTAATTACAGCCAAAATCAGAAGAACAATATTTAACCAATTGAATGTTTCTTCATGTTTATGAAGAATTGTTGAAGAAGTAGATGAAATATTAAGAATATTTAATGATGGTGGTATACATTGACCATTTAAAATTTCAACTGTTTGAAAATTTTCAAATAAAGATCCAGGTGGTTTAGGTGGTGGACGTATTGTAAATAATGGTGGTGGAGGAAGACGACGGAAATCATCATTCTTCATCTAAAACAACCAAAGTCATCATAATTCAATGTCAAAAACATTATCTTCCACTACTATTAAACAGCACTTTCATAGACATAAATCGACAAGCTATGAATTATATGTAGTTATTATCATACACTTAAATAAAATACTGACCTTCATTTTGTTTCATGTTATAAAAGAATTTTTATTAAAATATAGTTCAAAATGATAACAGCTTTTGATTTGAGCAACCAATGAAGAAACAAAGAAAAATCGATATCGTCTTAGTTAGTGTTTTTTTTTTGTTTTGATTAAACTTAACTCCGATACTTTTGTATTCATTCAATGAAGCAAATATAACTTTTTTTCCTTTACATTGACATTCAACAAGAAGAATATAACTGTTTCTGTTTTCTTTTTCTCATTATTACGTATAAGAGAGAAGCAAAAAAGAAAGAACTATTGAATGATCAATATACTAGCCGTTATCACTGCACAAGTTCACACTGATGAAAACTTCTTGTCATCACATGTGAAAAGATAATATAACTAGAGTTCGATGAATATTATGTAAAAATATGAAGACAGAATATCAATGATTGATTTATTTCTATTGATTTGATAAAAGCAACAAAAAAAAAAAAAAAAAAAAGAAAGAAAAGCAAAAGACTTGTCATTTTAAAAAATGCACAAATGTTTTGCCTCAAGGTCATTTTCTTTACATTCACTTATACAATTGAACAACCGTTTATCATCATATGAGTATTAATGTGCATCCTTCAATTAACAACTAATGACATGTGACAGCCCTTTCATTAGCACAAGATCAAAATAAGCCAAGAGCAAATCAAGCGAAAAGAAAAAACTTATTTCGAATAAACAACGTGATACATAATCTTTCTCGTCTATGCTAAGCCGATGGCCAATGCTCAAAGGCACATCTATTTCTCTTCTTCTTCTTCTTCTTTTTTTTATACACATCGATCTAATCCTGTTTGTTATTCGATCCTCATACTGTAAACTAAAGTCTGGACATCTATCGAAAAAAGAATGAATTCTTCATACTTATGTAATCATTTAATTAGACAAAATGAACACTTTATCACACCTTGTGTCATTATTTTGACAAAAAAAAAAGGATTCTTATTCTTCGTTATCTTTTCGTTTAAGATGTACATATATGCAAACATCAATGTGTAAAGATTTTAATCTCTATCATTTAGTACATCGATTGGTATATATATAAAGAAATTTACATAAAAGTTATTCAATATTCTACAAGACTAAAATATTTCTTTTTTTTTCATTCAAAGATTTTCAAATGATGTAATCTATATCAAAAAAAAGAAAAGGAATAAACAATTGAGAAGTCATTCAAATATCGGGTTTATAAATAGAAAACAAATATTTGATCGATGCTTTTTTTTGTTGACTATAAACTAATAAATAGTTAACGAAAAATATTTATGAATTCATTAATAAAACTCACCCGAATATTGAAAGTGACATTAAATAACTTCATTGGTACTACTCATTATTTTCCCATCACATTTGATTCATTGAACTTTGTTCACTTATACACATGATTATGCAAAAAAAGAGGAAAAGAATAATCTGTTGCGCGTGTGCACAAAGTTGATGTGTCATGAAGATGATGAAAGAACTCTACATTTAGCCTTCCCAAAATCATCATCTATTTCCTTTAATATAGAATAGAAAGAAAGAAGGAAAATGATACGAAGAACGTATCCAATGATAATTAAAATCGAAAAGCTTAATAGATAGAAGAAAAAAAAAGCAGAAGCATTGTCCTCTCTCATACACTATGTTCAATATATATGATCTATTTCTCTGATTCAATATTTGTCAAGTAGTAAAAAAAAAGAGAAACAGAACACTTTTTTCTATCATCTCTCTCGTTCTACTTTATTATATGGAATTAGTCTCGTTCTCTTCGAGAGAAGGTCAACTCACACATACACGAACAAATAAAAGAGGTCATTCTTTTAAAACAAAAAAAATGTCTTTTCATAGAAAGTTGAAAAAATATGGACACCTGCAGTGTCATGTAAGACGATCTTTTTCTTTTACATTTATACACACCTTATTATATATATAAATGTATGTCGTGGCGTGTAGATCAGTCGAATAGACCATCTAATCTTTTTTTTTTATACATGTGTTGAACAATGTGAACATATGCTTATGTTTGTGTATCTTGTAGGGTGGAGATTGAACACAGCAGGGAATGACACATACCAACGAATTTAACTTAAAAAGAGTCTTTGTTTTTCTTCTATTCAGGAAAAAAACTGTGTAAGAAGAATTTTTTTTTTTGTTGTCTATTATATTTATAATGAAATGAATATGTTTGTTGAACGTGTTAGGTGTTTGATAAATATTGAATGTGGTTCTACCTTATTTTAATTTGATTTTTCTTCTTTGAACAAAATTCTCTTTATTCAACAGTGTGTAAGCAACGAGAGATTGTATATTTCATATACAGTGGGTGCCTAGAACTTCACAATAATTACTTCATTTCTAATTATTGGTCAATTTATATAATGTTTTTTTTTTTTCTTAGCGGAATTACGAAAAAAAAACTGTGATAATTAGTTAATCAAAATAATACCATATATTAAATTACGGACAAAACAGTTGGACGACGTCAAGTGGGAATGATGATGAGCTTAAGGCAATAGCGGCTCGAAAAGAAAAAGAAATTGCTTATGTGTCAATGATTCTCACAGGATAAGACGAGATATGTCATCAATATGGACAGGTCAATCTCTTGAGGCAACACAACTACTCAGAATGTCATTGCTCACATCATGTGCAGACATAGAGGAATCCCATCATGAACAATGTCTATTAAAGAAACAAAAGAACTATGATCTTTCATGAGTTAAAGAAAGAAAAAAATTTCATCATTTTGTCAATAATATTGTGTGTTTTGCACTTCTTTTTTTCTATTAAGATTTATAAACAAAATGATCTTCATGATTGAATTGAATTTATTAAAATAGTTTAAGATTTTTTTCAATTGTTAATTCATTGAAAGAAAAAGTGATTTTATATACGATAAATCACTATCGGAAGTTGTATTATTTTACATTCTTTTTCCTTTCTGACAAGTCACTTCACTTGTTCCATTCTACTATAATAGTTTATTGCGTAATTTGATACTTGTTTAATAAGATAAGAAATGAACACATTGAAGTATGTTGCTAAATAACTTTATTATATTCTATATCAATGTGTCAATGTTAGTATGTCACTAAATTATTAAAAATTTCTTGATCTTTTAGTAAATAGAATACAAAGATAGGCTACTTTACTTTTGTAAACTTCATTGTTGGTTCATATTGATTCTTTTGTAATCAAATTTCGAAAAGAAAAATATTGAAACAGTGCGAAGAACTGTATTGCGTAAATTTTAATGCATTTTAAAGATCAATTTAAGAGAATATTTCTGAAATGACTAACAGACGGCGCAGATTAAACGAGACAATGTCATCTTCTTTTTTCTGAATACTCAAATACACTTTCAGAAAATCATTCGATAGAAAAGTTTTTGCTCTACAATATTGTTATATTTATTTATCAAATAAATTCGTATTGTTGAAGTAAAATATAAAATATTAAAACATACTTAATCGTACAACTGTAATAGCCCAAACAATAGAAAAAATGATGCAAATTTTTTTTTATCAAGAAGTTTCTGAAACGGTAAGCATGCCATCAAAGTTTGCATCTTTTGATATATATTTCAAAGAAAAAAAAAATATTTGCGAGAATAATCATGAAGTAAAAGCTGAGGAAAAAAGGCCTTGTATGATAGGATTATATGATTGTTCTTTTTTTTTTATTTATTTCGATACAACTCTTTAACTTAGCAGTCACAACATTTTATTCAGAATTAAATTCTATATCCCACAACACGAGATTGATTGTTTCATATGCTAAATCTCGCTTTGGGAAACATGTTTTCATTGAACACGTATTTGTGTTTTTAAATTCTACTTCAACAAAACAAATATATTTGAAAAACAAACGAAACAATTTTGTGAAGCGAAGTATTCTCTATAGAATGACTTTGTAAAAGTGTATCGTGGTGAATCAACAAAGAAAATGATATTGTCTATGTAATCTATGCCATCGATGAAATGTCAGAATTATTGTAGTTCTTCACATCATCAAACTAGTTATACATTTTAATATGAATTTTGAATTATCCACTAAGAATCCATATTAATATGTCTAGACTAATTTTTAGATGCACTATTTTGTTTTTTGGTTGATTAACTTTGAAGTCGAGAAAGTTTCTAAATCAATGTTCGAAGTACATTGCAAATTCTTTATAGTAATAACATATACTGAACAAATAAGCTAATAGACAAAACATTGAGCATGCCTTTCTTGCTCACTAGAGACGTTCATAAGATAATTCTGTTAAAATATAAAATTGAAACCACATTTACAAGAGCTTTAAATTTTTATATATTGTGTGAATCATAATAAAAGCTGATATATTGTAGTTTGTTAACAAAGCATAGTGATTAAGAATGCATGCTCTTCTGTCGTGATCCGAAATACTTTTTTGTTGTGGTTATTATATAGTCTGAAGTAGTATCTCTCTACCGAGTACATATTCAATTCCAAAGATTGTATATTGTCATACATAAGAGGCAGAAATATTTCCGTTTCTCCGGTCTTAAATGTCCGATCGAGCTGAAACTTTTTCAACGTATATTATAGACTTGTTTGCCATGATTATTTATTTTTGTTCCAAAAAATATTGTAATGTTGATTTCGACAGTTCTTACGAAAAAGTTCAATTAAGAAAAACTCCTGTTTTTAAAGAATATCTTCGATATTTTGTCTTCTTTTATTCGAAGGACAAAAAAATAAAAAGACACCCACCGACAACAATGTCTAGTGTCCATAAAAAAGATTTTCAAGATAATATTTCGGAAAAACATGAGCGAAAATAGGGGCCCTTTTGATCCAAGTATTTCATACGAGATAACATTGGG